GACTTCCCCCTGAACGATGACCCCAGTCTGGTGTTGGGCTGGTGATTTTTTTCAGTCTCTATAAAAAGAGAACATTGAAAATCATTGGCTATAAAATAATTTGATGATGGACTCTTCGCTATTCCTATCCAATGATAATAATCATTAACAACATTTTCGCGTTCCATACCTCCAGTACGGTTCCGGATGATTTTACGAATTCTACCAACATGAACAAGGGCATAACAATAAAAGTAGTTGCTGAGATGAGCCAGCCAATGACGTGAGCCCATTCAGGGTAATCCCCGTTGTATGATGGCTTTTCCCAGTAAATTAAGCTGTACACCTGTACCACCTGTGGACGGAATACAAGGTAAAATAGTTTTTAAATACAGTTTGGCGTAGGCTTTCTTAAAAACACTTTTTATCTAGGCCTAATATGACCATAATTGTATTTCTTTTTTATTTCCACAACGGTAATTGTTGGTTATAGAACAGCTAGAATGTAATTTAAATTGTAACAAAAATGTCTGAATCTTTTAGGCCTAAAACTATCATTATTTTATCATTATAATCATCGTCATTGTTATCTTCATTACCATAATGTTATTGAAATCAACATTCATTAACTTCCTTACTCATACTTACTAGTTGTCTTAGGCCTAATTATCACAGTCATGATCAATATATCAAATACTGATGATAGGTCTATATATAATTAGTCAATATCGTAAAAATAATTGTATTGATAATATATTATTTTTGCCTAATTATAATATAATTATTCATTGTATAGTTTTAATAATTATTTCATCAATCATCGTTATGTTTGTTAACATTATTACTATGTTAAGTTACGTGAATATAACTATGGAAAACGTAGTAGAACAAGAAAGGCAGAGGTTGTTATTACACCAGTCTTAACGAATTGCTGATCCATAAATAAATAGGAATAATTAGGAATTGATTTAAGACATGGGAAAACAATTATTCACTGCCAATAAAAAAATTTAAAAAAAATGATTATGACGTCATACAATGAGTGCTAGTGGCGTCATAAAACACCAGCTGATCCGCCAATAGTAGAACATGTTCGAGTTCAGCCTTGATCGTCCAATCATTTCTCCGATATCGTTTTTGAATCGATCGTATCCGTACATCCACGAAATCACCAAACACTCCAGGGTGGCATAGGTAAGAATGTTGAAACCAGCCGCGTATGAATCTAAAAGTCCAATCCAGTATACCCCTGCCTGTAGTGCCAAGTTAAAAAGTAAATTCAAATTAACGGTAGTCAAGAGCCAACGAAAAGGACATTATATATTGTGTACACAGAGAAATAATAATCCAAACAAACGACAGGCAATAAATATTATGCAAATTTACAAACTTTACTGTCGAAAATAAAATAAGCCCTACATCTTAAAAAATGTATTATTTCAAAAATGTACATAATTTTGCATAATTTATTTCATTAGCCAATCATAATTCGCCAAACGACTGTAGGCCTATCGTCTGCCCGCCGTCAGACGATATTTCAAATCATTTTTCATACCTCAGTTACGCAGATGGTGCTCGCTAGAAACATACTGCAACATGCAACTAAAAGCACCCATGCCTTCTTGATTCGCAGCTCCGGGAAAATATCAGTAATAAATGTCACGATGGTCTCCATAATGGTGAACTAAAACAACAATATAATAAACGAAAGATTAATTTGAGGTTCAGTGATGTCACGTAGTTTGTGGGGCCCTGGCGCTGACTGTTATTGGGGGGGCTCACGCTTGCAACAAATTTGCAGGCGTGAGACTTTTGTTTTAAAAACCCCTCCCCTGGGGTGTGGTGTCCGGGCATCCCCCGAAATTTTTTTGTCCTAGATACCCGGAATTGTTTGCTACTTTAGGGTTGTATTCTTACAACCGAAAATCTGTTAGGTATCCACATTTTTTCATGAGAAATGCATATTTCTGTCATCCACGATCGAATCTATCCTACTGACATGAGCCGCGCGCGTGGCAGCTAGCAGTGTGTTCTTGATGCTATTGATGCAGCTACTGTAGTTTGATCTGATCTGATCGAAAAACAATAAGAGGAATATTTATTTTTTTACAGACAATTATCAGAATTTATCAACTAAAGAATACACGAGATATCATAACAAAATAAATGTAAAATTTTATGATAATAATGTAATTATGAAAGAGACATCAGAAAAAAAAATTGAATAGGCCTATCTAAACATTTTTACGTTGAAGCCGAGCTCTTTGTTAAAGATCCATGAATTCCATTTTGTTAACTACAATGTTGGGGCCCCTCGTATCTGGGGGAACTGGCGCTCCGACTCCCCGTCAGCGCCCGAGCGTGACGCCATTGTTGAGGTTAATCATTAATAATGGAGTCGGGTGTCAAGAAGGAGCATTCTATATTGTGTGGATTGGTGTGGAAAGCGTGGCGTTAGATACATTAATTCCCACGGTTCACGTCAATCATCCACTACGCTGTTAAACAACGTGTCAAATATAACAATACATTTGACAGTATAATTATTACTTGATTAAACAGTCAGAGCT